ATCGTCGCATCCGATCATCAAGTCCTTCGTTTTCTTCGATCTGGAAACGTCGGCTCTGCACGCCGAAGACAGACCCAAGGTCACCGAACTGTGCCTGATCGCCGTACACAGGTCCAGCGTCGAGAGCTTGGACACCGCGCCGAGGGTGATGGACAAGCTGACGCTGTGCGTGTATCCCAACAAGGAAATCTCCCCGATCGCTTCGAATCTGACTGGTCTCCACAATGCTCTTATGTTGAATAACGACAAGCAACCTTTCGACGTCCAGGTTTGCGAGTCGATATGCGCCTTCCTCGGCAGACAGGCAAAACCAGTGTGTCTGCTCGCTCACAACGGATACGAATTCGACTTCAAGCTGCTCCGGACGGAATTCGATCGTCTCGGACGTTCTCTACCTTCCGACCTGCTGTGTTGCGATTCCCTGTTGGCTTTTCGCGAACTGGAGGGTGCAGATTGGCAAGCGTGGAAGAGGCCGAGGAGGTCGTACGCCCTGCAGAAGATGTTCGTCCGGACTTTCGGAGTGAAACCCAGAAACGTTCACGGTGCTGAATCGGACGTGATCACTTTACTCAAACTTGTGTTCAACCGAGGAAACGCAGTGTGCCGGTGGATGGATGAGCACGCAACGAGGTGGACGGACGTTCAGCCATATTACATCCCGAAAAAGATCTAGAATGTGGTAATTGTTTTTTCTCTTTCTCTCTTTGTTTTTGTGTGCATACAATTTCAGATTAATGGAAACGTGGCATTTCTTCGAAGTCTTTTTTTTTAGGCGAGACTTGTTTTTTTTTATCATTTTTTTCGAATGGCAAAATCTTTATTCAAAAATTATAAATAGTTGCAGTCGGTGAGATTGCTAAGCAAGGTAAAAGAACAAGTCTCGCGTTGTCGACATGTAAAAAATGATTGCAAAACAACGCAATTCAAATTCATTTTTGTACGAATTTTATTTTGATTCAGAATTAACATAAAGATTTTGTCCAATTTAAATGTTTTAACATAAAATTGTTATTTTCTTAAATGTATATATATAAGCATTTAAAACTAATTAATTGTTGTTAATTTCCATTTTTTGTATATTGAACTTGTTCTTCAGAAGTAATCAGTTTTAGGTCATCTGTAAAATAAAATAAAAAATTTTCACAATTAAATGAAATATATATATATATCTCAGTTAATTTTATTGAAAACTTTGCAATAGCATCAACTAATAACGAGTCAAGTCCTTACACTCAAATTAATTTTTGTTATTCCCATGTTTATTATATCATTAATTGATATTGTTTTTGGTAACATTATTTGAAGCTTCTTCAGTTTTAGGTTATCTGTAAAATAAAAAAAAATGTTCACAATTAAATTAAATATAATAATAATAGTTAGATTTGTAGAGCGCATCATGCGAAAAAGCCTCTATGCGCTTGGTGATTGAGCTTTTTGAGTTGGACATTTTGAAAAAAAAATTTTTAAAAATGTAAAAACTATATATATATATATATATATATCTCAGTTATTATTATTGAGAACTTTCCAATAGCATCAATAATAACGAGTCAAGCCCTTACCCTCAATTTGAACATTTAATCCTTCGCTTTGGTTTTCTGTATGCGTATAAAAAATAAAAAAATTTATTTCAAATTATAAACAAAGTTTGATAATTTAACGCTTAATTTATTCAAAACCCACAAATGAGAATAAAAAAAATCTTGTTTGTAACAAAAAAGAAATTTTAAAAAGCAAATAATTACAACAATAAGCATTAACAAAACATTATTATGGGTGTGTGAAGATTAATAAGGAAAAAAATAAGCTAGGTGAAAATGAAATAATCAGTAAATACCTTACCTTCAATCGAGTTTTGTTCTGTAGAGTAAAAAAAAATCTAAATTAAATATAATAATAATAATTGGATTTGTAGAGCGCATCATGCGAAAAAGCCTCTATGCGCTTGGTGATTGAGCTCTTTGAGTTGGACATTTTGAAAAAAAAATT